CTCGACCAGCTCATCACGCCTCCTTTTGAAGCAAGCTCACTCTGTAGCGATGGCCACACACGACCTGATCTTGGCTGTTAATGCTGTCATGCACGACTTCCGTTACCGATCTGACTCCGCCGAAGGTGACTCTATTCGCAACCTTGCCGGCGGCAGTTCTCCGGACGTGGAGGCCAAACTGGACACAATCGAGAGATCTGTAGGTTACATTGGCTTTACTTTTCAGATTTAACACACTGTACGTCTTCTCTCCTAATTGTCTAACTACTTGCTCAACTATCTCCATTGCCATCTTTTCCATTGTGAATGTAGACTGACCAGACTACGATTGCTCTATTTATATTCTCTCGTCACCATTTGCCTTTCTAGCCCTTCTTCATTCTTCTTTTCAGATCATGTACTATATATATATATTCATTTATTTATATTTATGTGTGATTTTCTTGTTGCGACTCAACACTATCAGCTCATTGTCTTCCATCCGTGCACTGACCTGATTAAAAGTAGCATAACTTTCCTCTGGTTGGCACTTTCTCCAGTTTCCTCGAAATGACGAAATATGCACGGATTTGTGAAGCTCCTTTGTGCCAAGTTATCCTACTAGAAAAAAATTCTTAGATTTTTTTCAATTTCTATAAATCTCTTAATGTCTTTCTAATTATCTTTTCACATAAGGTCAGAAGTCCTGAAGTTGACTCATGCTATTTTCAGTTTCCACCGCAGCTCTTCCATTTGTATATGCCAGTCAACCTAAGTATAAATGTATTAAGTAGATATTTGTTTAACACCATTCAACCTTTTTGTATGCGTTGGCATTTATTTCTTTTGCTTAACCCTGCAGGAGATGACCGTTTCCATGGCTACACAATACCTTTGTGAGCTTGCTCAGCTCTACTCAGAAGGTGAACTTGCTTCTCTTTCAGCACTTTCATCCTCTCCTACTCCTTCGGCACCGGGCGGCATGCTATCCAACTCGGACCGGTTAATCCCATCGCCAAAGCGGTTGCTTGATGCTGTGCAACAGGTGGCCACCACTAGTGGCCAGTTGTTGAATGCTGTGCGTTCAAGCCAACTGGATTCTGCGGATCGTCTTAGGCAGATCGAGGTGAGCAAATCAAAATCTAGCCATATGATGATTGTCTCAATATAGCAGAAGCCTTATCATTTTTTTATTGCTTTCATTTTATGCGGAAAGGTGTTAGTTTGGTTCTATGATGGCGATGCCACATTTCTATCTGGTCGGATCGTCTTTTTGGGCGTAATGCTCTTTTGTGTACCTGCTGAACTGTACGAATTTTTACCTTCCTTTATCACTTTCGAGGCAAGAAGCCATAATTATCTAAATTTGGCAAACAAATAGACTTCAAGCCATAGTTGCTAGGCATGATACATTACACTTCATCTGAACTCATGCTTAAATCTGTGGATTGAATGGACTCTCGCAAGGAATAAACGACAATTGTAGTAATTTCAGCATGATTTTCTTAGTATGCATACTTTCATGCTTGAAGTTGTTTGCTCGGCCCATTCAAAGCTCTGTATCCATGGGGATTCAAAACGAATGAATTGACCATCCGCTTCGCACAAAGGCATCCGCATGAATGCCTAATAAAATCTTCTTTGTACTACTGCTTGGAACTTTTTGTAGATCACCTAATTGTGTGAAGTTCATAAACGACCATGGGGGCAGCTTACTTATCGCTTATTTATTTATTCATTTAATCCTGCATGATATCACTTTTTCTATGACTATACAATACCAGTGTGAGCTTGTTTATTTCAATTCTGAGGAGGAACTAGCTTCATGTGGCTTTTATTTCCCTGCAGTTTCTTTTTTTAAGCGAACGGGATAGAAAATGAATGATAATAAAAGCCTCCCTGATTACCTCTATAGGTTTTGTTTGGAAAAATCTCTTTCTAACCACATTTCTAGTGAGTCCATGTGTTTAACCACAATTTATTTGGTTCCCCACTAAAGTCGCCTAATTCCTGCAGCATTCCTTGATTTCTTGGTTTTATCCAAATGACCAAATTTCTTAGTATTATATCGTATTTGTTCCCAGTAAATTGGTCTAAAATTAAAACCTAGGGTGATTAATTAATTATTTTTCCCAAAACTTACAACATTAGAATACAGATAAGCATAGCCATCATTGAGCAAAAGAGATATCGATTCTTAGATGTTTGGGCTGCCAAACCTTAATCGCTATGCCGTTACCTAGTCGATTTATTAAAACTTAAAGTATGCCTGATTCAGACATATGCATAGAGTGTTAAAAAGTAAAGCATACATCCAGAGTAGTCATCCCTAAATGAGTTAGCTACTTTCGGTAAAACGAGGCTTATTTCGTATTTTCACAATCTTCTCAACTTTTTTGACGCATGAGTGTTAAAAGTCTTTATATTCAATCTCTAGATGGCTAATTAACAAGACTTGACTGTAATTTCAGAATCGATTGCAATATTTTCAGCTGGAGACAAGATGTGATTTTTGACATCCATTTGAGAATTCCTATTAAACTCAATGGAGGTGCAAACTTCAATCAAGACCAAATGAGATAAGAAAAAGATCAAAATTTAATTTTCCAATCAAGCATTCTATCATTTCATATAGAACAGATAAACTATCGGGCCTTTTAGCACAAAATTCACCCATCACATTACCGTCATCTCCCTCTTATGGTTTTGCTGATGCTGGAAATAAGGCAGCATGTTAATGTGTCGATGTTTTTACTCAACTGTTAGCTCTATTAGTCTGCATTCTATTCGTTCCACCAGTTCATTCGATTAATATTCACTTGCATCCATTTAAGTTAAGCTTCCATCTGGTGAAATTTTGATGCCCGTGTAGCCTATCCTCTTACCTTGATTGATCGAGACAAATCCACTTTTAGCAGGTAGACATTTAACGCTCTGTTAATTCGACATTTTCATGCCAGTCAGACGACTAATCAGAGTCTGGAAATAGATTTATTTGGACAGGGGAAATAGAGATGAATACAATCGAGACGAAGGCTTGTGTGTTGCTGCTTTCTTGTCACACAACTGATTAGCATGAGGTTTTCCAAAGTGATTTTCACTTACTTCTTGCAGTTTATTGTGCATAACTAGGTTTTATGCTTCAGTTTCAACGTATTAGTACTTGAGCTAGCAAGGTCTGTATGCCAGCTATCCAGGGGATGAACTTGGATGGCAGGAGAAAATAATATCTTGGATCTGCAGACTGGCGCACAAGTACCATCATATACCCTAGCCTATGGCCTTAAAATGTTCCTTCCTCGCAATCATTTAATTCCACTCATATTCAATCGGTATTTCGCGTAAATCCAAACTTAAATACTATTAATTAGTCCTTTTTTTTTTTACCTTTTTTGATTTTGCTTGCAGATCACCGGCAACACAGTCAAAAATACAACAGATCAACTAGCCTCTGTCATCCAACATGGCGCCACTGTTGAGGTCACCTTTCGATTGCCAAACTCCTCTGAGGTCCCACTGGATAGGTTCTCTGAACAGCCTCCAATACCTGCTGAGTCAGAGACTTCAGTTTACAATGCTCAAATAAACGTGCCTACTCACGTTCGGGATAACATGCTTCAGGTTATCTCCCTTCTTTTACGCAATTCCTTGTCCTTCATACTAATATTTAAATATAATTAAAGACATGGCTGAATGATTATCCCCAATAAATTCACTGAACTTTTTCAAACAAAGGTTATAATTGCGTGTGCTTACCATCGTTTTGCTTTTTAAAATATCCTACACAATACTAGATCATTAGATCTTGAATAGCTATCATTGCGCTAAATGTTCTTATATTTGTATAAACACAAACACACAAACTAACAGGCATACATACAAAGATATGAAGGTAAACTGGGTGTCGAAGAATTGCTTAGTGATATATTGTGACATTGCTTTCCATTTCGGAGAAAAAGTTGGTTGGAAGGAATTTGTGAAATGATATCACCGGAGAAGTATCGCAGAGCAAAGATTGTTGGATTGTACGAAGAAATCCTCGCTTCACCGTCCTGTGACTCCGATTAACCTGTGCTAAGCTTTCGTCTGTACTGTGACAGACATAGTCACTGCAAACATCCATACTTTACGAAATAGAGCTAAAATATACTAAACCAAGAGAAAAGATGCCCGGTTGCAACTCTAGTCACTTTTCATACACCTAATCTTGCGCGACATATTTTCCTAAATCTTCCAGAAAATACCAAGATGATAGTCGCCTGAGCCAAAATGCTTTTCGAACTTTAAGGAATGCATGTTTCAATTCCCTTGTATACTTAATCGTTTTAGTGTTATTGAATTTTTGCAATATAATTTTGTTCACTTGCGTTTCCATATCATTCTTAAACTTCTCTTTTCTACTTCAATGTAGACGATCTACGCGAGAGCGCAGATTCAATCTGGCCGGGCTGAACTAGATGAATTACAAATTCGCCTGAACAAATTCAACGAAGAGCGAGCAAAGCGGAATCCCGAGCTGTATACAGATGCCGATAACGCACTGTTTTAGCCTCGGTCTCTTCTCATAATTTGTTCATTTTTTAGCTTTTTTTGCTAGTACATTTCTAATCGGCTCTGTTGAACCTTGACACACTCTTTTCTGAGAGCTTGTGTACTGGATCACTGATTGCAATTTGTGTTTAATTGATCACGTCCTTATTTCTTTCACTGATTTCATTACCTTATCCTATCCTGTCTGTTAATCTTTGTTCCCTTGCGCATTTGTTTGTATGAATGAATATGCTAATTTGGAATATGAAAATTTTAAAAAATTTTCATCTTGTGGCATAGCGAGGGTCTTTGGTTCCCTGTAAATTTTTGCGCGCACGCTTTCTTTTTTTATCTTATGCTTCCCAAGTCTCCTTGCTAGTCTGACGTTTAAAGGGGCTGAGCGCCTATCCTATTAGGGCCGCCGAAATGGCACGATCACTATTTTATAATTATTAAGACCAAAAATAAAGCCA